GTTTAAAATTTAGTTATTTTCCGCTAATCTTTTTAGTTAATTCAAGACATATGAGGATGACGTGGCACTCCGGGTTCACAAAACTCGCGGCGTTACACAGAGAATACATAGAATTTAGGGGGAGGATATCAATTTGATTTCATATCAAAGTCGTCTTATTACAAAGTATAAGACCTATTTATATAAGGTTTCAAATTACCTATTTTTAGTAGGAAACATCTAATAAAATCTTAGAGAATCTAACAAAATATTAGAGAATCTATCAAATTTAGGTAAGAAACAACTATTAAAATACTGGAGAATCTATTAAAATATTACTGAATCAAAAACCCTAATTACATATACAATTTGAAAAATCTTCATGTAATATATCATCTAGGACCCCATTAGATTCCCATCCATTAGCCATTGTTCCTGCTCTTTACATCTACATGTATGAATAAGTATGTCGCTTTTCCCTTCTCCCATTTCTGTTGATTCAAAGGCTTGGGGATAAGTCTTTTACTGATACGGTCTGTTTGTCTTTCTTTTCTTGTTTTGCTGCCAATATGCTACCTTCGTTATTGCAGTCGCTAGCTCTTACATGTGAAGCTTGTGGATCCCCAAAGAATAGAGGCAATGGAGACAAGAAGTTAAAGGTCTGGTCTTGCAAGTTTTGTACCCTGGATAATAGCATTGAGGTTGAGAGATGCATGGCTTGTGGCGAGTGGAGATACTCGTACGGTCCCCCTATTTCCACCTTTGGACCCAATCACGGCACCTGACTAAGGGAAACAAAGCATATAAACTGAAACTTTCAACCTGCCTTATGCATGCATGTCAGAACGATTGCCTCTATGGTCTACAGTGTAATTCTTATTCCTGTAATTATATCTGCAGATAATTTGTTGCATTTGAAAGCTGACTGTTAACCAATATTATTGCTGTTGCAAGTAAAATACACATACTCATGCACAAATATTTTGGGTGTAAAAAAGCAGTATATATGCTTGAATTGATTCTCTGCTAAATTTTCTTGTGTCCCATTCTAGTATTTCTATAGGAAACACGAAAATTTCTGTCTTCTTGTTGGGTCTCATAATGTTGTATAAATGTCATGTTTGGTCTTGGGTATTGTTGATGGCATTTTCTCCACTTCTCATATTCCTACTCCTCTGGACTTGAATCTTTCTTTACAACGATTTGTCGGAATACATCCCAGACAAGGCTCTTTGATGCTTTGCAAGGAAACGAAGTGAGAGTTATATGTAAATATGGCTTTCTATTTTTTCCAAAAGAAATCATACATGTTCGTGATGATTCTCTAAAGACTAACTGTGCACTCTAGTTAGGCTACACGTTCTTCTTTATTTGCAACTTGTGACCTTATTGCCGTGAGATTGTCATCACTTCCTTAAACGATTCTAAGAGCTTGTTTGGTAGGGAATTTTTGGG